GGCATAAAATATATTTCGTATTCTTCGTATTAAATAAAAAGTTATGTTACTTCCGAAAACAAGGATATTCATTTCAGTGATTTTTGGACGCACAAGGAAGAAAGAAAGTAAATTATTAATAAACAGCCTAAATATTGTTGTGAGTTGTTCACTTCAATTGCCGCACAAGACCACATTAGGCCTTATCGCGAATTTCATGTGAACAAATATTCCCAAAAATTATAAAGCAAAACAAAAACAATTTTTCCCAATTTGTTTTTGTTTTGCATGTTAAATTATGGGAACGATTTTCACACGGAGTTTATTTATTTACAGTCTACAGAATGCAGTTCTTACTACTTAGAAATATTTAAGTAATTAATTAAATTGCATAAACAAACTTAATTTAAACTTATTTATATTCAGACCGAAATCTATTATGTTATAATAAGTATTACAAAGCCGAACACATCTAGAAATTGGTTCAATATCACCATAATTCGTAAAGTGAGTTATACAGTCAAACAGCCGACTGTTCCTTAGGTTTCGTGGTGGAATATATAATTCTAGCAAATTTGTAAGAAACGTGCAGTTAATGCGACCATTAATAATATTATATATAAAAATTATAGAGAAATACATTCTTCTATCATGTAAGAACTGCAATCCTAGTAACTTTCGCCTCCCAATATAAGAGGGTAGGAAACTATGCACGATAACTTACACAATGCGATCTTTGTAAATACATTTTGAACACGTTCTATTCTATTTGAATGTATGCCGTAATAGGGATTCCATATTAGAGAACAATATTCAAGGCGACTCCTGACTAGTGAAATATAGAGTGATTTAAAAGTAAATGGATATTTGAACTCACTTGTATTCCTTCTTATAAACCCCAGCTATTAGGTTTGATATACATTTGATATACATTTGAGAATGATTTGAAATCAAAGCCCTTCTCTAATGTCAAACATTTGAAAATGATTTGATATTGATTTGAAAATTACAGCTTTGTCAATAAAAAGGGGAGTTTGATCTCCATTTGAGAATATGGTTAACTCTCAAATCAATTTCAAAGGTTATTTATCAATTGTACTTCAAATGTGGAAATACAATTTATTATAGGAAATGTATATTTCATATTTGTTTTTTCTTCGCGATGTACATATGTATGTACATAACAAAAAAAAACAATTAAGATAAAGTAATTTATAATAAATTCGTCTTGATGCGCTGCAGCTTCTTCAATCCGCGCAAACATCAAATCCACTATTTGTGGGCTTTTTCTTTGAAAATTTTGTTCTATTAATTTTTTTTTCAATTGATCTTAATTTTATTCTTACAAATTTTGATTTAACTTCGCATTTTTATATCGTTTGATACTTGACATCTTTCTTCAAATCAATCTCAAATGAATTTCAATGTAAAATTTAAACCTCGTTTTCAATTTGAGAATCATTTGAGAAAAACATTTGATATCAAATTGACAAATACATTTTTCTCAAACGTTTGAAACTGTGTTTGCTGGGACCCTAACATTGCAAAAGCTTTGGATACAATATAATCAACATGTTTCGAAAAAGTAAGTTTTGAATCAAAGATAACACCCAAATCCTTCATTTCATTGCACCTATCGATAGTATCGATAGTTTAAATTTTTTTAGACTATCAATACTCATTGATAGTTTTTTCTTATACTATCAAAAATATCGATAGTTTAGTAGGACTATCGATCATCTCTCCCAATTTTTTTGAAATTATACATACATATGTTAATCGTAAATCCCGTTTTGTTTGTATAACTTGTGTTTGTTTTTGAACTTTCTAAAAATAGAAGTATTTTGGCTAAGCAGTTACTTAATTTTGAATGATTATAACTTTTATAAGATAATATTTATTTCACTATGATTCTGTAAAAACAAAGCAACCTAACTGATTTAGCGCTATCGATAGTTTTGTTTTTTTCGAGACTATCGTGAATATTGATAGTTTTTCTGAAAACTATCAAAACTATCGATGGTGTGACTATCGATAGTTTGACACCTCTACTTTACAACTGTCTGTGTAGTCGCGTATAACAGAGAAGAGCTTTACATCATCAGCAAACAATAGGCAGTTAGTAAACTGAAAGCAATCAGGCAGGTCATTGATGAATAACAAAAACAATTGGTACCCTGTGGTATACCTGACACCGCGTCGACAATAACTCTTGATGTTGCACATCCAATTTTAACGAAGAGTTTTCTTTGAATTAGGAAACTTGCAAAGAAATCAAGTAATTTACCGCTAACGCCATGACACTCCAGCTTCTTCAACAGAATGAAGTGGTTTACTTTGTCGAACGCTTTTAAAAAGTCCGTATAGATAACGTCCAGTTGCGCACGGCTTTCAAAAGCGGTGATTACTTGTTTTGTTAATAAGGCTAAATTCGTACATGTTGATCTTCCCGGAAAGAATCCGTGTTGGCATTTAGATATAACACTATTTACGTGATCAAACAATTTAACCTGGATTATATGGTCATACAACTTAGCCAAAGTGCTCTGCTTAACCATGGGTCTGTAGTTACAGACGTCATTACAATCACTGGATTTAAAAACTGGGACGATGGTACATAACATCCATTGGCTTAGAAAAACTCCCTTATTAAGACATTGTTGAAAGAGTAGGGCAATAGGAGTGACTACTGCGTTGGAGCAATGTTTAAAAAATAACTGTGAGAAACCTTCAGAGTCGGATTTGGAGCTCGAATTCAGTGACAAAATTGCCAACAGAACATCTTCTTCTGACACAGAGAACGATGTGATTGTAGGCAAACGTGTGAATGTGAAGGTAGGGGTTAAAAAAGTGGTTTGGATCTCATAGACTTTCTAGAAAAATGTTGCGAACAAATCACATGAATCTAATGTATTTGCGAAGGTGACGCCTTCGAATTGCAAGCTAGTGGGGAAACCATTTGTTTTCCTTCTTGAGTCGATAAAGTGCCAGAAACTTGATGGATTAGATTTGAGGTTAACTTCAACATTATACATATAATGTCTAAATAAAAAAAATATGGAGGTAGTCGAAATCCTTTCTCAAGCGATAGAAATTGGAGCGATCAGCATCTGAATTACTTTTCTTAAATTTCTTCAAAGCTTTGTTTTTTATGTTCTTTAAATTACAGAGTTTAGAGTTAAACCAGGGTAGTTTATTTCGGATCGCTGGTCTTTTCAAAGGGACATAACGGGATATAGGCCCTTATTATGAGCTGCATTCGATTTTCGATCTTCGCTGGCTATCGAAGATCGAAAGTGAAATTCGTATTATGAGCTATGCAGGCGTGTCGAAATTTTCGTTGAGTATCGAATTTTCTGTCGAACAGAATTTTGCTTTCGATGGTGTAACGAAGTGTTAGAAAATTGTGAAAAATGTATGATTTTGTATATGTTTTCTTACATTTTGGCGGCTAGACACTAATTTTAAACAATTTTTATTAATTTCATGCAGTTCTAACATCGTGAATACTAAACACAAGCTCGAAAGGCTGGTTTTACTTGTGAAAGAAAATCCCAATACTCTGTTGGCACGATCTCTGAGAACAAAATCGTAGCGCTGTTGATAGTTTTAAAATATTTTAAATAGATTTGGCTCACAAACGCCTCTTTAGATGGTCGGAACTTTTTAATGAATCTGTAGACAAATTTCTTAAATATATTTTATATCAAAATATATTCGAAAGACTAATAAACTTAAATGTTTAAGAGAGCATTTGCTACTCCTGGCCAGTTTACTAAGCTCTCATCCTCTGACGAATCGCTGAACCAGAACTCGTTGTACTCATTTTACCACGTTTTTATAAAATTGCTTTCTTTTTACTTCATTTTAATTAGAACAAATTTGCATAAATATGTATAAGCACACTATTTAGTTTGCTCGATTTGTAAACAAAGCTTCTCAGCGGTGAAAAATATACTATTGTGAACAACCTAAACGAGCGAAATTCACAATAGGGCTATTCTTCATCGAATGAGCGCCATAATACCAAATGAAAATTCCTTCGACCACAGTCGAAAATCGAATGCAACTCATAATAGGGGCCATAGCCAAGTTGAAATTCTCACGCAAAATCTCATAAGTGACGGTTGGACAATTTGAGTTGTTTAAAAATGCCCAATCAATGGAGTTTAAAAAATTTGTTAACGCTACGTAATCAGCCTTAGAGTAGTTACGCTCCTCTGAAATATTGGACTCATTATTTTCAAATGAGTAGAACTTTATGCTAACAAAGATCGCCTTGTGGTGAAAGCTGTTACTCAAAATTGGATGTAAGCATTCCTCACAAGATAATTTTAAATCACTAGAAGAAAATACTAAATCGAGTATTCTGCCGTTATCATTCCAAATCGCACTATGTTGATTAAAGCCATAAGATAACAAGGTACTGATAAAATGGTTATCAATGTCAGACCTGAAGTTATGCTGTAGTAAATTGTTACCATGGTAAGACCAAGATATATTAGTTAAGTTAAAATCACCAAGAAAAATTATTTCATCGGAGTCTTTGCTAATATTGATGATATGAACCAGGTTCTCTAAATGTTTTTGATAAATCTCCATGTTGCTACATGGAGGAATATATGAAAGAATTAATATTAATGATTTATTGCATGAAAACTTAATCCTAACGCAAATTTTATCAAGAAAATCAATAGCTAGATCAAGTGTAATTAAACTGCTGCACAAATCCGCTCTTACAGCAAGCATGACACCGCCACCTCTTTCATGACCCGTAGGAGTAGAGCTACGATCTTGCGGTATACATTATAATTGCGATCAAAGAATTCGCTGGAGGAGATGTTACTATTGAACCATGTCTCAGTTATGGCCAAGAAATCATAATCACGCACTGATGTACCGCGATAAAACTGATGTGATTTGGTTCGCATTCCGCTTACATTTTGAAAATAAAGCGAATATTTACAGTCAGAGAGAATTTTAACATTTCGAGGACGAACCGACGGTGTTAAGTAACCTGCGGTGCTCCCCCTTGCTTTTGAATAAATTTAAACGGCCGCACTGTCACATTAGTTGGTCACATATTGGAGTTAAGTAGCTTACTATAGTACATGGAAGAAATTCCAAGTTTAAAATTTACTCTTTTCAAAGAGTCAGTACACACATCTTTCTTGACAAGCACGTAGCAAGAGATGGATGCTGATGGGATCGACGAATGATTAGATACATAGTTAATAATGTGCTCCGCAGTTACCGAAGACTTAAATGATGATAAGTGTAACCACTTCATGGGAGAAGCAACCGCTAATTCCGCAGTCGGGTTACATCCAATAATAATATTCCGCGGTTTAGCTTTCGCGTGAGCGCCTTTGATGTTATTACTTATTATGTTATCAGTATTGAGAGGTACAGAAGCAGCAGCAAAGGCGGCAGCAGCAGCATACGAGAGATAGCGGTCATCAGATGCGCTTTCAACATGATTGCTGGTTACATTTGTATTCATAGTAGCAGCACCCGGAAGAGCGGCGTTTTCAATTGGACTCACTGCATTATCGCTGTCGGTAGAACATGTGTTAGCAGTAGCAGTACACGGAAGAGCGCCATCGGCGTTAGAAGCTTGCATACAAATATTATCGGCCGTCACAACTCCAGTAGATGTTGACAACGAAGTCGGAAGAGTCGTTAGGCTGTAGGTTATTAATTTTGTTTTTCCCACCCGCGTTAACCACTGAGTTCGATATGTTAGGAGAGCTAGCATTATTGATAGGCGATTTAGCTCGACTGTTTTGTTGTTACACCACTAGGTTTCGATGCACTCTTCTCAGCACTTTGTTGTTTTTTATTATTGTTATTTGAGCATGTACAATGGCACGTACAGCGACGAAGCTTTTTCACTTCGGCTGTGAGCGAAGCAAGCGAATTGGCACTATTTTCTGCATACTGCTTACGCAACGATATTATATCAGAGTGTAGTTTCTCTGTGGTTTCTATCAAGCGACACTTGTCAGCTTGAAGAGCATGAATCACAGCAAGAGAACGAGCTTGCTCTGACTTAAGCGCTTTGATTTCACAAAGAATTGGAGATAGCGCAGTTTGTAGATCAGTCTCAATAACATTCTCACTAAGAGATTAAGTTGGTGCCGACTTTAACGATTGTTGTTGGGAAAGGTTATTGACACTTTTGCTTATTTGCACAAGGGCAGTGTTTTTCAAACAGAAATTATTGGCGGTTTCACTGTCCACCAGCTTCAAAGAAGGTGGAGGAGTGCGAATAGATTTCCGGCGAAAGTTTGTACCCTCTTTACAGAAGTATTTGTTGTCCGAGCTGAGCAAAAAATCCAAGTCATTCGGCGAAACGCCGGCGCCATCTAAATGAAAAAATTCTTTGCACCTAGCGCATTGCACTTTTGGGCGATAGCGATCGGCTTTTTGTCCACAAACACACGGCATTATAGATGAGTTTGTTGATATCACCATAAACTTTTCGGATAAAAAAGTCACTATCTCAACCATTAAATAATGTTGATCAAAATGCTTAATTTCACTATGAAAGACGTAAAATTAACTGAGCTCGATAAAAACACGTCTTATCTCTTTGCTTTCACTGTGAGACTGAGTTGGAAATAAGGCTGAATAAATATTTCCGAAATTTTGAAATTTTCATTACCACATGATAATCGAGCTATCACACGATTGCCGCAACCAGGTTGTATTTGATTGGGCACGGCAGGCACCAGGGTTGTTGCGAATATTCGCATTCGCATTCGCAACCGCGGAGCTTCCGAATTAATTTTAACATTCTCATCCGCTTTCGCATTGGCAAAAATCTATGCGGAGCTTTTGCGAATGCGAATATTGTGCAAGTGCATTGATAAAACGTATATCTGGCTAACAAAATGATAAATTGTAGCCAACATTTTTTGCCTGAGGAGATGCTACGTTAAAACTGTCCCATTATGTCCCCCTTCTTTTGTAATTTAAAGTCAAAGAGTAATATCTTTCAATAGGTATTTCCGGCGGAAATTTTCAACGTCTAGCTATAAATTAGGTAAGAATTATGTAACTATCAAATATTATTTGTCAAAGGTCTGTTGAAAAAACTGGCTGCATGCTAGTTTTGTTTCTACCTTTTCTTAGATAAGTGTGATAATTTTTAATTAATTAATGTGATTAAGTTCCGTGTTTTCTTTTTTAGCAGAAAAACGCACCAAATAATTTTGACTGGGTTTACTATGCAAATACTCCTCTGTGCGCCCGAAAACAAAAACATTTATTTTATTTTGTGATAATTGTCAAAATTTGCACGCAAGTTCACAAATCCAACAAGAATCAATTCAAGACGAATTTAGTATCTATTGAGGAGTGGGACCTTGGCGTGCAATATATCGTATTAAATAGTATGGAAAGGGCGTAACTCACATCGTCGCTGAAATACAAAAAGCCGTAGATAACTTATCAAAAATCCAAAAATCACTTTTTGATTGATTATGATGCATTTCGTCAAATCATAAGTCCCCACATCGTTTTATGTAATAAAAAAAGTTTAGTTAGTTGTGGCTTTTTTGCATTTAAGCGACAATGTGAATTACGCCCTTTCCATACTATATTAACCACAAAATATCAAAGCACATTGAGCGCATGGACTGAACAACAAAACGGATTTGATGGCTTTTCGTACCGACAGCGGTGAGTAATTAATTGTGACTGCCGCAACTAGGAAAAGTCGAGCTCAGCTAATCTGTCTGATTACAAGCAGGTTAACCATTTCAAGAAGTCACCCGGGAACTAAAATGATCTGAGACCTTCATCATCCGTGATTCCAATAATTCAAATTA